TTATTTTATTGATTTAAAACCCACAATCAATAATCAATAATTGGTATAGCTTTAAGAAGTATTAAAGTAGAGAAATAAAGTCAAACCTCTTCTTTAATTTAGCTGTTTTTGAGTGTTTGTGTTGATTTTCCTGCAGTGTTTCTGTGTCCCTGAAGGCAGCGCGTGTTTGAGTGATGATGTTTCAGAGGGAGGACTTAAACACCCGCAGCTGAAGGTTTTAATTCTCCCAGAGGACCCTAAAGGGGAGGAGAGGCTGAGAGGAGGGGGGGGGGGGGGGCACACCAAACAGCCACTTTCACACGTCTGACCTTTGACCCCTGAGCTGATAATCTGACAGAGAGCATTCAGGATGCAGAGACACGATCAGGGAGAAGACGGCGAGGAGAGCAGCGCAGAGACAAAGTCAAAGACGTTCAGTTGAGAGTTCATTTATTATGAAAAAACATCTTTATCATGTCAGAATCATTCATATTTATTTTAATGAGTTAAACTTATTTATTTTTTTAAGCTGTGTATTATTGCGTATTTACAGGCCGACATCATGTACTCTCCTGTTTAAAGATTCATGTCATTTTCTTTTTTTAACAGACAAAATAAACGTGTTTTCACTCAAGTTTGACTAAAATTTATTTAAAAAAAGATTTTTTTTATGATGTTGTTTCAGAATTAGTGATAATATATTTTATTTATGACACACTTTACATTTAAAGCAAATTTAATTTTGTGATTTTTGTTTATTCTGCTGTTAAAAATACACGGTGGTGATTTATTACAGAACAGAGTTTAATAGATTTTGAGATTCTTTCCACAAATTTTTCATACTGTCCTTAAAATATAAAAAACATGTAGATAATTAAAAGCTAAAATGTATATAAAATAAAAAATAATGGGCTGCAGTTTGTTCCTAATTTCATAATTACAATTATTACAACAAGAAGTATAATTTATCTGTTTTATTTGGGCTGTGTTCATAATTCACTCACTCATATTTCCTGCCTCATGTCTGCAGCTTAAATAAAACAAACGAGTAAATAAACAGACAGATAATAAAAAGCAGAGGAATGTGTGAGGTCTGGGATTTGTTCAAACATATAAAATTTGAGTGAGCCAATCAGAATAAAGATTTATGTTTGACGTCCTGCCAGAGCGTTAGTGTCGGAGCAGCCGGAGAGCTCAGAGTGAGAAGAGAAAACATCTGAATAATCATCATCGTCATTTCGTATGATTGTTTCAAATTCAAATATAATATTTCAGGTATAGATCTCTTTTTTTAAAGTTGTGTGAAAAGGACAGGAAGAAAGAGCCTGAAGTATTAAACAGACGGAGAGTTTCCTCCATGATTGATATTAATTACAGTTATTTATATTTTATCTTTACAGTCTGAAGGACAAAATGTTTGATTTTGACCAGCGGTATGATGACGTCTCTCTCTCTCTCTCTGTGATCTCTGTACTTAATAAAGGAGCAAATGCACCCTCTTTACGGCTGCGTTAAAAAAAAATTACACTGCAGCTACAGTCCTGTCAGTGTTTTAGATAGAGTTAAAAACAACAGAGTCACAAATACGGCCTAATTAAGAACATAAAACTCAGAGGAGTGTGACACTAAGAGTGATGAATATTCAATCAGCAGAGTGGAGGAAACGTTTAACCGTCATTTCTTCTTTGTTTTCTTGCAGACGCCGTGGTTGCAGAGCAAAAACAGAAAAACAGACTCTCCTGAATTCACACATTTAACCCTTGTGTGGTTTTTTTTAGCCAGTAGGGGGCGCTATAACCCACTTTTTTGACGTAAACTTTAACTATTTTTTGAGAGAGTGAGATCATTTTTGGTGAGGACATTTAATTTTACAACATTTTTTCAAGGTCAAAAATGCTGTGGACAGATTTACTGCCCTTCTGTCATGTTGTGAATTTTTTTTAGCCAGTAGGGGGCGCTATACCCGACTTTTTTTTACCTAAAGTTTAACTTTTTTTTTATATAAAGTCACTTTTGGTGAGTTAGTTTATTTTAAAAATTTTTTTTTTTTTTCCAAAAATTTTTACAAGGTCAAAAAAAATGGTCTGTTGACAGATTTACCACCTTTGGTCCTGTTTGTAGCTGTTTTTAGCCACTGACTTTAGCTACTGTAAAAACATACCAGATAAATTAAAAAAAAAAACTTTTTTTTGCTCAAATCTCTTCATCATGCTCATTCCAGATCAAAAATATTATATCAATTTTTTTGTTTTTTAATAATCATTTCATACATATGACTTTTTTTTTTGACCCCTCACTTTTTGTCGATTTTACTCTCTGTCCTCCTAACCCCCACAGTCCAGGCTCCACGGGGCAAAGACACTAATTTCCCAGAATTCCTGGGCCCTCAGTTTGAATGTCAAAGCAGATCTGTTTTATTAATTCACAGCCTAATGTCCCAATACACACACACACACACGTACCTCCAGGGCGGTTTACAGTCTGTACAGCAGACGACACCTTCTGTCTTCTCGCCTCGACGCAGAGGAGGAAAAACCCCAAAAACCCTCGATCAGGAAACGTGTCGTAGAGCTCTGGAGGAGGAAGAGGAGGAGGGAGGCCTCAGCAGGACAGACAGGAGGTGCGTTTTTGTCCTGAATCTACAACAATATGGAGTCAAGTGTTTGTTTGAGAGCAGAGTCAAAACTACCGTGAAGATCTGCTGCAGCTGGGAGCATCGCTGACAAAAATCAGACCGACGATCTTCAGCGCAGCGGGGAAACTCTTCATCGCTGAACCTACAGAAGGAGCAAACACAGGAAAAAGTGTCATCAGTTATTTTTATAAACTAAATCCCTTTTTTCAAAGACATCCACGGAGGTCAAACAGCCATGAAAGAGTTCAGACACTCAGACAGGAAACCTGTTGCTCCCTGAAGCACCATCTAGTGTTCAGAGGCAGAATTACACAAAATCAAAAACAGGAAAGTGTCTCAGATGAAGACAAAGAAAATCTAAAACACAGATTTTGGATCCCGCAGGTGGACGGTTTTTCTTGGGGTCCAAAATACAAAGATCAGACTGTCTTAGAGCTGAACTTTTACATTTATTTGGTGTTTTAACCTCATAAATATCCCACTTTAGAGACGAAAATATAGTCTGATTGTTGTTCTCAGCGCTGGCTCTATATCAGGGATGGTGTAATATACTGATACAGACAATAACAACCTTAAAATACACAATAAAATTATCACAAAATAAAACATTTTTTTGAGAGTTGAGTGTATTTTCAGCTTTTCAACTGTCTGTTATAATTGTATGTGACCTTGTTGTAAATACTCCTCTTTTTTTTTTTTAACTCGTTTGTTTACATGTCCTTTTCTGTCACTACTTCACTAAAAGTACGATTAGATGGGAGCTGGAAACGAGCGACTGCTGATATCTCAAGATCCAAAACATCGCTCCTTTGTAACAGACAGAAGTTGGACTGAAATAAACTTTATCATAAGTTAAATAAATACAGATGATGTGATTAAATTGAGTATATACTGACGCAGTATAAGTAATAAATATACAGTAGGGGGCAGTAGTGCTCCCTCACGCAGGAGCGGCTGTGGCGAGCTAGCTGGAGGTCAGACAATTTATAAACAGATTTTTCCAGATTTAATGAGACTCCAAAAACAGCGCAGGAGCTGTGTTTGATTTTTCTGAAGTCGGCCAGGATCATAATTTAAGGTCCGCTGGAAACGTTTCCTGTTGTCTGTAAACTGATGTATTTACTCACTTCCTCATCGCAGCTTTTTTACTCTGTTCTTATTTGAATGTGGTTCATTATGCCGAGGTTGTGTTGACCTCTCAGGGCCACCGTACAGGAAACTGACTAACATCAGCTTCTTTCAGCTCGTGATCCGGACCTAAACCCGTCCTAATAAAACAGTTTGAACTTTGACCTGAACAGACTGGAGTTCATGTTTTGGGAGTTGACTGACCTGCAGCATTTCGAACTTTGGTGGTTAGAGATCCCTCACAACAAAAAAACAGGGATGTTAGTGTGTGTGTGTGTGTGTGTGTGTGTGTGTGTGTGTGTGTGTGTGTGTGTGTGTGTGTGTGTATGTGTGTGTGTGTGTGTGTGTGTGTGTGTGTGTGTGTGTGTGTGTGTGGTCTGGCTCCTCTCTGTCTCTGAGTGTAGCTCAAGTGTCGGGGGCTGATGAGGAGCGTGCTGAAGGACCACAACCACCGCCGCTACTCTGCATATTAAAACCCACCAGAAAACACACACACACTGACTCTCTCACTGGCACGCACACACACACACACACACACACACACACACACACACACCTCAGCTCTGCAGGGCAGCAGCATCTGGGAGGCAGACAGGAATTGTTTAGTTGTGCTTCATCCTCTGGGGACCATGACATCTTTAACAGTTAAAGGATTCATGCTGTCATCTTTGTCCAGGACAAACTCCACGACAAACTCGTGTCTGACATCACTTAGATGGAGTCTGTATCTGTGTGTCACATGACCGTAGAACGTAAACATCTATGGCGGAAGCTGTGATTTCCACCGCATCCAAAACAGCGGCGATTTTCACCGTACGCAAATTTCAACCAGATCTGTTTGTGAAGCAAATTTTGTGGCGGATTACTGACAGCAGGAATCGTGAGAACTTAGAAGAACCTGCAGATTCATGTGCAATCGTGCGATAACAATTTGTCTTTAACCACAGAGGTTAACCATATAAGCAGTAAATTGTGTCCTTCCAGAGGAGGAAATCTACTTCTAGACTTCTAGAATCAGCATCTCCTCATCCATGGTGTCATCGGGGTGAAATGACGTCTAAAAACCTTTCACTTGTTCGTCTCCGCCCGTTTGCATGCTGTGAAATACGATCCTCCTGAAACACGGAGTGTTTTATTTTGAAAAGAAGCCGGATGTTTTATTTTGTGTCTGTGCCCGACTTCCTTTTCAGCACGGGTTAATCTGTGCTGAATTTATCCGCCATGCTCCGGAAGAAACAGAACTCTTGCGATCATTATTGAGCAGAGAAAGGGCAGAAGAACAAAACTGACCTGAACTGTGAGACGTTACTTCAGACAGGATTAAAACTCTTAATAGACCTGTACATTAGATATGTTTGTATGTGAGTTTTCATTTTACAAATTACAGCTCAAGTCCATTCGCTCTGGAATAAAAACACAGAAAACAAAACTGACCTGAACTGTGAGACGTTACTTCAGACAGGATTATAACTCTTAATAGACCTGTACATTAGATATGTTTGTATGTGAGTTTTCATTTTACAAATTACAGCTCAAGTCGATTCGCTCTGGAATAAAAACACAGACACAAAAATGATCAGAGGTTCCCGGACGATACTAATCCCTACGAACGACAATCTGGTCGACAGAAACAGGAACTTTTGAGGATGTAGTTTGTTGGAGATTTGTCCAGAAAGATGAGTTTGCAGCTGTTACAGACCGTTTTGAGGCTGCAGGTTTGTCGATCTCTCCTTTTACAAAAACCCCCAAACTATCCTGGTTGTCTCTGAATCAACAACAACACGACCCTCTGTGTGTTTTTTCTCGGTTACATTAGTAAATATCTCTCTTCTGGAGCTCAGCTGAGTCTCTCATTTGTGAAGGATTAATGCCGACCCCCTCGTGATCCAGCAGAGGCAGGTTTGCCAAGTCCTTATTACGGAATAAATGAACGAGTCCTACTTAATGTGTCATGGCCGTTACCACTCAGCACGCCACCAACAACCCTTGTCCTTCTGCATGAACCCCCCCTCACCCAGTCGGAGCTGGTGGCCTCCATTAGAGGAGCTGATTTATCAGGAGGAGGAGAGGAGTCAAAACAATGTAAATCCTTCAATTACTCTGTTTCAATAAGGAGGAGCTCAGCTGTCATGAAGGCAGGATAAAGAGCAGCAGGAAAACGGGTTTTACACCCCCATGAACACCGCTTCACCTCTGCAGTAGTTCAGGGATCGTCTCACTTATAGAACCAGAACCAAAGACCTGCGATCACTTCGATATCGATCAGTTTTCCTCCAAACACACAGAAGAGGTCAAAGGTTATGAACACACATGTGACCCTGCAGGTCTCCTCAGCAGCAGTGTGAGGTTCACTTCCTGCTCTTTACTCTTTATATTCCTTATATTAACAAACTCATTTATTTTTAATTGATTTAGATTTTTTACTCAGATGGTTATGCTTCTTTATTGATCTTAATAGATTCATTCATTTATTTATTAACTTATTTTACTGAGAATTACAACCGTTGTATTTTATTATTTATATTTATCTACCTACTTGTTTACATATTATTTATTTTATTGAGTATTACAACTGTTGTACTTTTATCTATTCATTCATTTATTTATTTACTTATTTATTTACCCACTTTTTTCTCTTCCTCTATCATCTTTTTTATTCTTAACTTTTGTTTTTCTTTTATTTACTTTTAACTTCACTTGTCCCTCTGCTCGGGCTGGGTGCAGGATGAGGGATTGGGGGTTAGGGGGTTAGGGGGTTAGGGGGGTTGGTATTTGTTCTGGGGTATGCTAGATTCTTCCGTAAGTAGAACATTATTGTTTTTCTAATATGGAAAATTTCAATAAACAGACAATAAGACCAGAAAAAAAGACCTTATTTTCTGCTTGTTATGTCAGAGGGAACTTGGAGACAAATTAGAGCTCATACATGTTGACTGTTGACTCCACCCAACAATGAATTGATGTCCTAAAATCACAAAAATGAAAATATTTGACCATTTTAAAGAGGTAAAGATTTAACCAAATATTAATCTGACTTTATATATTTATACATAAAATATAAAAACCTACATTTCTGGTCCAGAGAGAGCCCAGATCTCAGTCCAAACACCTCCAGGATGTTGGATTCCTCAGGTCTGTCTCTGGTCTGGTCTCACACTCGAGTGGTTCTCAGTGTTCAGGAGGAGATTACTTCAATTAAACCGCTGATTAAGCAAATTGGAGGCTGATTAGTTAATGAGCGGCGGTCTTCAGGAGCCGCTAATTAAGACGCCGATTAGCGGCTGTCAAGAGCAGCGAATGAGGCGCCGGCACTCGTTAAGAGATTATTACTCCACCAGGCCGCCAATACTGCGACCCAGTCACAGGAAGAGGAAATCTGAAACGCTGATAAACATCTTCTGAGGAGGGAGATGACCTGATGATAGCAGAAACATGAACGTTCAGACACTTTACTCTCCAATCCTTAAAAAATGGCTCAAAGTCCATCTGTTAGGGACGGCCTTGTAACCACTAAGAGCTCCTGAAAATCTGAAACCAGACCCTGTGGTCAGTTTCCAGACCCAACACTGTAATCTTTGGGGTTTTATTTATGCAAAACATCTGTAAGATATCCACTGAACCCAAACCTGATGTTATAGTTGTAAATTAAAAAGTGTTGAATGGTTTCTGCGGCTGTAATACTCGTACTGAATGTAAGACTGGGGGCTTTGCAGAGCATCTCTGACGAGGGTTTCACGTCGTCTCTCCGCAGAAGAAGCAGCTGTTATTTTCAGCAGCTCCTCTCTGAACTCATGAAGTGCTCCCTCCTCGGCCTTGTTATCCGATACGCTTCTCAGTAAATGCAGCCAATCGAGTGCAGCACATCTATGAATATCCGCGGCTTCGCGTCACTCGGGATAACACTCCATAACATTTTGGCGAGGTCTAATTATTCCATTTGCCTGGACCTGGATGCCATTTAGATGCAAGGTAATTCAGCGTGGTATAACTCAATTTAATTTCTCCTGACTGGGATTTATGGAACATCAATAGCTCCTCAGTGGGACCAATGGGAACGCTCCTTATTTATCCCCAAGTCCTCCTGATGTTGCATTTCTGCAGCTCAATTAAATACACGAGCAATGAGAATGTTTCACAAGTCTGTAATGAGAAAAAGCAGGACGGCCCTCCTTCTCCTCCTCCTCCTCCTCCTCCTCCGTCTGAGTCAGAGTGCCGTGCTGAATTAGCGGGAGCTCAGCACTCATTACCTCAGAAATTAACTTTTAAAGATGGCAGAAAGTGTCCGCTGTGATTGGACAGCAGAGACACTGAGACGCCTCTCTACATCAACCTCCAAACTTACACGACTCCATCCAGTGTTCAGAGGAGTAAAACCATCTCATCAAGAAAAAGAAGTTAAAGAATCTGAAGAAATGGTGACTGCTGTGACTGTTCTGTTCAAGAGTCTAAAGTGGTGAGTTGGTGAGGGTTTTGGCGCCCCCTGAGGACAAAGAAGGGACACTGACCTGCACATGTTTAGTGTTTTTTCACTGAAAATGTCATAAAATCTTTGCCCTGGAAAATACTACAAGAAGCTGTTTCAAAGGAGTGCAGGAAGGGCTGCACGATTAATCGATTTTAAATCATGATCCTAGTATTTAACTATGATGATGTAAAAAAAAAATTTAAATCATCTAATCGATTTTCCTCTCTATCATGTCTCGCACTTCCAGGCCACCGTAGACTCCCCAGTTCCCACACACACCAGTGTAAACAAACATGACGTTTGTAAAAGAAGCCGATGATTTCGTGGTTAAATAGGACAAGAGCGAGTCAGTCGTGTTGAATTGGCACGACTTCACAGTTTCAGATGAAGAGTAAATCACTCCCCGCTGCAAAGTCTGTCTGAAGGCGGTATCAACCCGTCACCACGGAAACAAATTCAGGAGGAAACGCTAAAGTTTTTTGACGCAACAGCGTTTCATTCACATGGAAACGGCGTTTCAGGTGACTGTAAACGGTACTTTTTAAAAACGGGTCAGAGAGTGAATAAATCTGTAAACGACGACCATTTCATCTCTGTGTGGATGTCTATCTGCATCTCTGGAAACGATCATGTGACACACAGTTTTACTCTTTTATGGCACCAAAACATCCTTTATTCACATGCTCTGTACTCTTCTTCTGTTTCTTGTGCATTTCCTGTGCAGCGTTACAGCGCCACTTACAGGCTTGGCATATACACTACATCATTTGCAGTGGTTTGGTTTTGAGAGATGATAGAAAAACTTTTTTTATTTAAGTGAAGTTTGGTGAAGTTGTCACTGAATAAAAAAAAAATCGAGTTTTCAGAGAAAAAAAATCAAGATTTTATTTTTGGCTAAAATCGTGTTGAAATAGTTGAAAATAGGTGCTAATGCTAGTGTGACGTGGTTTCACTCACAGGGTCTCCCAGCAGCACAGACTCACCCTTTTTACCCCCTTTCTGGGACAGAAGTTAAAGTGTGGCGAAGTTTTCTCTTTTTTCCTCTAAAATCAGAAACAAGATATTTTTCGGCTGCAAACTTCTCAGCCTGACAGCTCTCAGGTCCCGGGTTTCCTCTGTGCTGCTATGATATGATAATCTTTTATCACCATTTGTCTTGTTACAGCAATAATGGCAAAACACATTTATAAAAAATGGCTTTGTTGGATCACTTTCTCCCTTGGATCAACAGAATACTTCATTAATAAAATATTTAATTACTGCAGACGGAGTATTCTGGCGGTCTTCTCAAAGCTGATGTTTTCGTCGGTTTCAGAATCCGAATAATTCAGAGGAACAAACACAGCCGTGTCCCGACCCTGCTGCTAAATCGATGCTGATTCAGAAAGTCCACTGCTGTTTAACAGAGGTCAGGTCACAGCGACACACAAGTTGACCCACAAGCAGCAGTCCGACAGGCTTTATATCCTCCTTACCCAGCTGTATTTCTGCGGACACATTTTTAAATGTACGACGAGTCCTTCAAAATAAAGTTACGTCACAACTTTTGATTCGTACACTATTTCTTTTTTTGAGGCCTTGACATTTAGACGTATCAAAATACAAAACCTTAAAAATCTTCCTCAGCTCATATTTTCTCGACACTTCTCTCAAACTAAAAGTGTAAAGCTGAGTGTCTCCTCTGCTTTAACTTTAAATCTCTCTCTGATCCTCGTCTGTGGGATTTCTCCTTCAGTGTGACTTTTTGTCAACCCCGGTTCAGTCAAATATCTCTGAGTTTGCTTTGTGTAAAAACTGCTCGATTTAAACCTTTCACCCCACTTTTCTCCGCCGGTAAAATAAAGGATGCATATAACACTTAATGATAAGACCCATGAGCTTAAATTGAATATTAAAGCTCTCTTCTCTGTGAAGCCAGCAGCCCAAGCTGTGACTGAAAGTGCGCTAACATCACATCGCCACAGACGCCCACCAATTACAGCCTGTTTTTCTTTTAGGGTCATTATAATTAATGACAGTCTGGAGCGCCGTTATGAGCCTCTCAAGTCCTCCACAGATAAAAGCCGTTTGGCATCTGGGCTCCGCAGACGCCAAGGCGGCTGCTTACAGTGAGCCGCCACCGCCACCATCGCCACCGCCGCCGCCTCTGCTGCACGATACTATGAATATTTAATTAATAATTAGTCATGTAATTCCTCCTCAGGAGTTATTATCCCTCAAACTGGTTTGTGAATTTAATTATTAGCAGCCTTTTTGTTTCCACGTCCCCCTCATTACTGTCAGGATTGATGTAACATAAACTTCATTAAAAATTAAAGTGGGATTCTTTAATTACGAGGCCGCCCTCGCCGAAGCCAGAATTAGCCAACTCAGTGATGTGCAAATGAGAGCATTATTTAAGAAACATGCTGGAAGTAGTTATGCTAATTCACCAGGGTTCACAGTGGCAGACCTTTCCACTCGCGGTTGCATATTCATTAAATGCACTATGCAAATTTAATGTAGCAGCCTTAGTAATGCCTTGTTAATTTATTCAGATTTATTGAGTAAGACTTGTAAAAAGTACCAATTTAATTAGCCCATCTCCTCGGATGGCGGCCGGTGATCGCTGAGCTTTTTAAAAAGAAGAAACATCATGTTTTACAATTCACGGGCTTTAAAGGGGGAAATTTGCTGCACTTATGGGGACGCTCAGAGAGAAATCACTTAAACTGCTGCTCATGTTCCCAGAGGGAGGATGGAGGAGGAAATGAAGCCGTCTCCTCTGAGTGAAGTCCACAGCTCCGACCGCTCAAACCGCAACAGAGAGGCCGTTAGCTCCGCGTCTGGGTCGACCCGGGATGTGTTTACTGACGGGGAGATCCCAGGACGTCACGCCGAAACACCACCAGAGGAGCCGTCAGAAGGAGAAAATAAAGCGACGTCTATTCTGTCTTTTCTCAGACATAACAGGGAAAGGTCACAAGGTCAGAGAGGGAATAGAAGCAGAGTTCAAGTGTGCCGCCATGAATACGACAGGGTTCCTCTTCTAAATCTCAAAAAATAGAGGAGGAAGAAATAACAAGAGTTTGAACAGAGTTTTGTCCACCAAAGACCGGAGCAAAGGTCTCTTTAGACAGGACAACAGAGAGCAACGACATAGTCAACTCACGAAATGATACGAAATCTGAAACAGGGCTCACGATACGAAATAAAGATTGAAGAAAATCACTTCAAGTAGCTTCTCTTTGTGGTGGCGTTGCAAATGAAACATCATGCTGGTAGTGCTCGCCGCAGTGTACGGTGGTTTTTGTTTAATCCAGTCTTCTCACTGTTGCGTTGTCTTTTACATGGGAAGCCAAAATGAGTCCATACAACCGATTTGTTTGACGCAGGAACGTCCGCTACTTGTTCGACCTCGTCTTCCTCTATTTTGAAATCAGTGTCTCGCTTCTTCTTCTTCTATTGCATTTCTACAGTGTTCTTCTGCTTGTAAAATGTGTATGCGGTAGGTGAGAGGGTCAAAAAACATTAGCGTCAGGCGCCACTTCAAATTTTCTTATTTGTTTGTTTACATTGATTTTTATTCTGTGTCTTTGAATTTTATTTCACGAAATTTTGTGCCACGAAATTTTGTAACACCTCTAATATATAGATATAGATATTTATTTTGTTTGCCACAAAAGATGAACTGAAATAAAAACAAAGAGACAGTACCCAAACCTACAGACGAGTCTAAATCTATGACTGAGGGCTCAAGATCTGTTGTTCACTCTGAGTGTATTTAAAGATGTATGATCTCAATCTGTTTGCATTGAACAAAAGTGAAGCAAAATCTACTTAAAGACAAGCTCTGACTTCTTGTGCGTTTGAAGCCAAAACTATGATGGATTATGCATTTCATTAAGGGCTTGACTATAAACCAAAAATATATCGGTAACAAAATTTATGACAATAATCAATGTCATTTTGCCCATATTAATATATTCAGTGCCAAAAATAAATAAATCAAAGCTGTGATGGATTATGCATTTCACTTAGGCTTGGCGATAAACTGAAAATTTACCAAAGAGGTAAAGACAGGTGAGGAGATGGAGGACGGAGAGAAAGTTGGAGCGGCTGAAGTAGACGAAGTTAATGTGGGAGGGGGTGAACAGCTTGTGGAGTAGTTATCGTCCATTTATCATTATCAAGGTGAACTGATCAATATATCGTGATATTGATTTGAGGACATATCGCCCAGCCCTAACTTCACTTATTTGGCCGAAGTCCGTCTGATGATAGTCTGACCATGAAAGTGCTTCTTTTGTTGTTTATAAAAAATGACTTTTTTGACCTGAAACACCTGATTTCAACGAGACACAAGCACAAAAGTGTCGGCCCATCACTCCTTCAGTCAGTGTTTTTTTTTTTTTTTGTCTGTACTTCCTAAACAAACTTTTGTCTTCTGAAAGTTCTACAGAGAAGCTCGTTTCAGCTCCTATTTTCCAATGAACTCCTGGTTAAAATCTTCTGATCATGGCTCTCAGACAGAAAGCTTCTGGTGTCACAGTGTGAAGGATCAGCTCTGCAGATGAGTGAAGAAGAGTTTCTGCTGTCTGTCTGTCAGTCTGTCTGTCAGCAGTGATCCACCTGTGCAGCCTGCAGCTGATCTCCGGAGTATTTACTCTGAGAAACAGAAGCTTTGTGTCTGTGTCGGCTCGTTTATCAACATGTCGGAGTCTTTGCTCATATTTTCTTTCTGTGTTTCTGCTGCTCGTCCTCGGCGGCATTAGGAGGAAACAGATTGGCGAGTCAGTGAATTAAACCCACAGATAACCTGCAGGAAATCCCCTCACAGGGAGTTACCGAGTTGTCTGAAAGAAAAATGGAATAACAGGCTTGTTTAAGGTCAAGATTTGCTGTGCGGGGGCTGGGCTCAGACATAAATGCTCCGTAATACCCAGTTGGTTGATTGCTCCGCTCTCCAGACGATGTCAATTTTTGTCTGAGGAGCACTGGGTGCGGTTGGTATTAAGGCGGCTGCGTGTGGAGGGCCCTTGTCGGCCTGTTCGCTCGCAGACGAGTCCTAAAGCCGGGCTCTATTATCAGCTGAGCCTGGAGGAAGGCGGCTGGCAGCTCCAAGAGTAATAGCACATTACATTTCTTAATGTTTCTGATACACAAGACGCTCCTTGTACAATTCTCCCGTGATCTCTCCACAACCGTTTTGTTTTCTTCCCCTCGTTGTTTTGTCTCATTCTTCCGTCCTCCTCCCCCGGCGTTTCGGCTCGGACTCGCCGCGCCGCATTCATCACACCAAGCGCGGCGTCGAGGGAGGACATGGCAGACAAGGAAGTCATTAGAGAGGATGAATCTGTTGTATTTACTCCTGTGTTATGCAATAATAAAGACAGAAGACGGTGCGGGACAAAAGGAAATGATGGTCTTTACACAGCGCAGTCGTTTGGCTTCAGAGTCAGAGCTGGTTAGACGCTGTGAGGAGAGTCCGACCTGTCTGCAGGATCACAAAACAACACCGCAGGCTCAGAGATGAGATTACAGCTGGATCTCTTTCTTTTTAATAATATATCTATGTCTTATAGTTTAAAGCATCTCTGCATGTACAGATACATTTGAAAGGTGCTGAACTTTATCGTTTTTGATTGTAGTCCAAATTTCACCAGGAAAGGATTGGTGAAAATCACAACACATGAAGATGTTGTTTATTCTCTAGAGTTTGACCTTCTGTCCACACAGACTGAGTCCAAGGTCACTGAAAAGACCTCCAAGTTTTGGGTGTTATCTAATAAACAGCAGAGACAGTTGGGGGGAAATGCTCGTCACCGTTACCTGATGCTGCTCGTGACGGTGTTTTAGCCAAGATAGTGGGCCACCACCTTACCTCTGCTCTGTATCAATAGATCTAACTGTCTGTTTACAGGAAACCTCGCTGTTCTGCACCATTTTACCACATCGCAGAGGCCAATAAAAATATCACACACAACAGTTTATATTCCCCACTCCTTACACAACACCAAGAACTACGATTTGTATGATTTTAACCAAAAATAAAATCAAGATTATTTGAGATTTTGATTTTTTTTAGTAACAACTTCACCAAACTTCACTTTAAGTTTTTCTATCATCTCTTAAAACCAAACCACTGAAAACGATGTAGTTCATATGCCAAGCCAGTAAGTGGCGCTAAAACACTGCACAGGAAATGCACAAAAGACAGAAGAAGAGTACAGAGCATGTGTATAAAAGGTTGTTTTGGTGCCATAAAAGAGTTACTCTGTGTGTCACATGATCGTTTCCCGAGATGCAGATAGACATCCACACGGAGATGAAATGGTCGTCGTTTACAGATTTATTCACTCTCTGACCCGTTTTCAAAAAGTATCGTTTGCAGTCACCTGAAATGTCGTTTCCGTGTGGACGAAAAAAAAACTTTTGCATTTCCTCCTGAATTCGTTTCCGTGGTGACAGGTTGATACCGCCTTCAGTCAGACTTCACAGCGGGGAGTGGTTTGCTCTTCATCTAAAACTGTGAAGTCGTACCAATTCAACATGACTGACTCGCTCTTGTCCAATTTAACCACGAAATTATCGCCTTCTTTTGCAAACGCCATGTTTGTTTACAGTGGTGTATGTGGGAACCGGGGAGCACTCCCGCAGGAAGGGGGGACCTACGGTGGCCTGGAGGCGCGAGACATGATAGAGAGGAAAATCAATTTAGCAATTTTAATTATTTTGACATCGTCATAGTTAAATAATCCGATTACGATCTAAAATCGATTAATTGTGCAGCCCTATACGTTAATTTAAACTGCCGCTTACTCGAGAAAAAGCGGCGGCTTCACCCAGCGAGGAGTCAGACGGCGTTCGTTCTATATACAGTCGATTTAAAGAGTCCTGTAAGTTTTTGAATCATTTCTACCAACACAATCTGTGAACACAACATCTTAACACAACAGCTGTTTACACTGACGGCCATATAGGAAAGAGAAAACATTTGGAAAAACTGAAACTAAATATTAACTGAACTGTATGAAGTTAGGAAGTACATCCAGCTTGTTTCTGTCCACTTGTATACTTTCTGCTAACACTCTCAGTTACTTTTTTCCAGCTTTTATTTTATCTTGGTCTGTGCATATATTTGCAGCAGAACTTCATTTCCTTCTCTGCTGATTAAACAAATAAAAGCTGCCTAATAAACAAGGATTCAATTATCAAAAGATTAGCGTGTGCTTTTGTTTTGATATTAACTTTGGTTTAAAAGCAGCACAGCTCCGTCCCGCTTCTGTGTTCACGCTGTAATTAAATCAGAATCCTCTTCAAATACAGCGCAAACCGCCGCGTCAGATTTAACAACTGTGTGGTGAAAACTGCGGGACCACGTTTGAAAGTGTTTTTGTAGGGCTTAACCAGCGCACACTTTCAATTAAATCAGAGGAAACTTCAATGAAAGTGCAGCAGGAAAACAATCTGAGCCTCTAATCCAACAATCACAGAGGAGAATCCTCGCACCCCTGTCTTTTTTTATTAACGCTCCCTGAATGCAGCACGGATCTGTGGACTCTGATTAAAACTCTGACAAAGTACTACTTAGCTTTTAGTCTCTTAGAGACGCTCAACATGTGATTGGTTCCTGCAGACACAGGAATCAAACTGTGCGATTGTATTGAGTGATGCACCAGAGTACCAGGTGACAGATAGGGGTCATGGTTTCAGAGCCTCAATCAAACGACAATCGTTCGAAAATGATTTATCATAAAACACACTGCAACATTTTCAGGAAGTTTTAGACATTCAAGAAAAAAGTTGTACAACATGTTGAAGTGGTTCATTAATCTTTGCAGTGACAATGATTTGATTATAAGGGGCCATAACTGTAATCAAAATTTGCATCTGGCTTATTGCTGAGCGAGTTCACAAATACTAAACTTTAAATCCTCAATACAAAGTTTTTACAAATCTGAAACTGGGCTCTCTGCGGGGTTATTATCGTTAATTAAAACTGACGGAGTAACAAAAACTAGAATTGAAAAAACATTTTAATTAAGTGAAATAAATAAAAACTATAATTAAAGGAAAAAAAGATAACTAACTGAAACTGTGGGTTTACAAAACTAACTAAAACGTTTTAAAATTATAGATAAAAGTACCTTCATTTTCATTAATTTTGGATTGATATGAGATTCTTATTTCGCTCGAGCAATTTTACGTGAGCTAGCAGCACCTTATGGCACCTCCCAGTTCATCATTTCTTCTTTACAGACAAAACTCGGGAGAAAGCGACAGAGTACGATATGAAATTTCTTTAAATACGACAGCGAGGAAGACAAAAGCAAGTGCCTTGACATGAAAACCGGTGATAAAGTATGTGGAATAATTCTCAAACGAAAAAACCTCACAAATCTGAAAGTCTATTTGAGACGCTCACACAAGAACGCTAATCACGAGAACCTCGACAAAGTGGCGTCTCTGAGTAGACTCCCTGAAAAAGAAGAAACATCTCAGCCAGGAGATCGGACCAGAAAGCAGGAGACAACAATAATGGACTGTTTTCACCGACGACCAAACAGCTGCTGGTTAGTAAACACGCAGGAACACCACAAGTTAGAAGATGCACTCGTAAATATGTTTATTGAGACTGGTACAGTATGTCTACAAGACTGCGTGAGATGATCGCCTTCGAAAAGTTTAGCCAAAATTCAGATCACCCGGTGCTGCACGAGTAAATGACCTTATTGCCAAGTATGAAAAACTGCAACTAATAAAAACTAAACTCAAACTAATTATTTAGAAACTAATAAGAATGAACAAAACCCACTCTAAAAACAAATTAAAACTAACTGAATTAGAGAAAAGTCCAAACGAAATAAAACTCAACCTTGGCTCTCTGAATCATAGAAAATGTCCTGACGGCGCTCCTCCACGCTGGATGGTTTTAACTCTTTTTGGATCTGAAGGCTTGAGAAATAAACCCGGCCAAAGGACACAGAAACTAAACATTTTGCACAACCAAACAGTTTCCACACTCCGGGAAATAATCTGCTAAAGTTTATATCCGATTTGTCTTGTTTGTTTTCATTCTAGAGTTGTTTGAATTATCTTTACGTTTCTCTGAAATCCAACTGTTCGATGTGCAAACACACTGCGGCTCCTGAACGATGGAGCTGTGACAAAGTAGAGTGAAAGCGACACTCGTATCATCATTATTCATTTGATTTGTGAGAGCACATTCTTATAAACTTATAAATCGACCCGAGCTGCGAGTGTTTGATGCGTTTTTGCAGCTGTAAAGCAAAATAAGTGCGAGTGGATGCAGAATCAAGATGAATGCTGAGCGCAGACAGACAGCGGCTGATGAAAACTCGGCGGGAGGCCACTCCATCTTAACATGGCCGTCCTGTGTCTTATGATATCTTATCATTAGTTTCCCTGACAGTGATGGAGCAGCCGCCGTCGCCCCCCTTAGCGCCGCGAGCCGTGTATAAAAGTAACCTTCTTTCCATAATAATGGCCATTCGTCACTTCTTTAACTGTCAGAGGACGAGGGACGCAAACAAAGTGGGATTTAACAAGGTGTGTGCAGAGCCAGGAGAGACGCTGAGGGGGGTCAGACCATTCAAATGGTCCTCAGCCGTAATGTGACACAATCTGCCAACATTACTGCTCTGATGTGTTCAGGGAACCTGGGACCAAAGTGCAGCGATGGAACCAAATGGGCCCTGTGGTTGTTAAAGAAGATGGGGAGGAAGTGAGAGGGATCCCTGAGGATGAGTCTGTGAGGTCTCTGAGGGAGGACCCGGTCTGCCTGAAACTTTAAAGTACAAAACTTTCTTCTGCTCCGTCATCCTGATTCAGTCTAGAGTGATCACTTCTGCAGAGTTAAAGGAATCAGAGATTCTCAGAGTTCAGACTGATATTTTAAAACATACTCGATGTAAACCTGTCCTGAACCTTCTGACATGTTCACAACCTGGAGTCAGGTCGTTGATTCAGTGTGGTTGAAAGTTTCTCACAAGTTTTCTTTCGGTCGTGACAGGAAGCTTATCTACCTGAAAACAGCAGGAAAGAATATTCATGTTTTTCTGACTGAACAGCTCACCACCTCATTAATAACTTCTTTGTAAACAAAGGCCCATTACAGCCGGTGTAGATACCAGATGTGTTCAGGCTGCCAGATCAGCGCTCTATGATTGGCTGGAAGTTTGTTTGGATGACGTAGAAGATTCTGGTTTGCAGTTTTCGTCAGATTAGGTTTCCTGGGATCGTAGTTCTTCGGAGAAAACATGGATGAATTTTACAAAGTAATCTGCCACGACTTATCAAACGGGACTTATGACAACAGGACTACCGCCTCTTTTAGGTCGCCAAAGGAAATGTGGAATAAAAGCAAAACTATCTATTGATAAACAGAGATCCTGTGTAGGGCTGTACCGATACGATATTGATACTGGATATCCGATATCAGCCAAACAACTAATATCGAATTATATTGGCTTGCATCTAAAATCTCCAATATTAGCATTCCGATACAAGCAGTCCATTCCAGACTCCACTCCGGCACCTCTATCTAACAGCACTCATATCCAGCATGTAGAGCCCATGTGATCACAACAACAGTGTGTACTAAGGTACGAACAAAGTACCAAGGAGGAGGAGTGATGTCGGCTGTGTGGCGGTACTTTTCGTTAAAGTCCAAAAAGACATCGCAGCTGAGTGCAAAACTTGTCATCCACAAGTTTGTGAAAATATTGGATCAACATCGGTATCGGCTGATACTAAAGGTTACAACATCGGTATCGGAAGTAAAAAAGTTGTATCGGGACACCGCTAATCTTGCGCAAATCTTTTTTTTCTTTTTCCTTTAAAAAAGTTAACATTTAAATTTAAAGCCATCTAAAAAATCACAGTACAGTCAGTTGTAGTTCTCTGTTTAATATGGCGAGAAAGTTTTGAGGTTAATTGAATGAACAAACGAGAATAAAGAAAACCGTGAGGGGCTTTTAACTGAGCGCATTTGACTGTTTAAATGGAGCGCAGTGTAGTTTGTCCAAAAGGACTTGCTGTAGTGTGACGTCTTCAACAGGCACTGGGCCCCGAGCCGATCTGGCAGCCCGAACACAACTGGTACCGACACCAGAGCTCTTCATCCAATAAAGACCCTTCTTTACAACAGTAGCTGAAGCAACAGTGCAAGGCTGTGTAAAAAGTAACACCCATGAACTGTACTTAACTTTACATCAATAGAAGAGCGGGACTCATTTCACAGACGACCCCAGTGTGAAAAAAATGAGGAGTTTTTGAGCTGTAAATCATGAAGAGCTACGCTGAAGGTGTCCCTGACCAGCATCATGACAGATATAGATGAATATTATAGTTCCTGTAATCATCTAGTTAGACTGAATGTTCAGCTGACAGTTTAACATCAGAACAAAACCTGTTTGTTGAGTCTGAGACTATTTAAACAGCTGAGCTCTGTCAGGGTCATACATGACACACAGTTAAAGTAAGCTGTGTACACGTGTGTGTGTGTGTGTGTGTGTGTGTGTGTGTGTGTGTGTGTGTGTGTGTGTGTGTGTGTGTGTGTGTGTGTGTGACATATGGCAGTTTAATGAAGGCCTTGGTGTGGCTGACACTTCAGTCGATACAGTATTGGCGTTCCAGTTAAGCCAACAAACGAGCAGATTATTGTGTCGCCTCCTGTTAGTGAACAGATCATATAAAGCCATCCATCACAGACACACACAGACACACACACGCACACACGCACACAGACACACACACACACAGAATCAGATCAGACCTGTATAATGCACTCTGTAGAACAGGGTCTATCTTAGTCTGGATCCTATCGTGTCCCTAGATCTCCTCCAAAGGCGGCCGCTGCGGCGCTCAGTTTCTCTACAGCCTCTTACGACACACTGGCCAATCAGACGCTTCCTGTTCTCCAGATATGTGGGAGTCTCAGCGGGCGGTGGTCTCTGCGCTGCCGCAGATAAAGACAGATGACGGAGAGTCTAAAGACATGTGAGCCTCAGCCCGCAGTTCAATGAGAGCACTCGCTCAACACGACAGGCGTGACTGAGGCCGCAATCATCACACCTGACTGTCTGCTGTATTTACCTGAGAGCCGTTTGAATAAGAGGCGGATTTACATCCAGTCAGCTCTGACTGCACCTCATCTACGGGGGACTGGGTCTGAAAGCGGTCTTAATTGTGCGAACTCAAATCTGAGGGTGGGGTTAGATAAACTGGATATATTAGACCTTTTTTTTCCCCAGTGGCCCTAATCCTCTTCCGTGGTTAACACAAGCACTCGAACTGGAGTCAAGTTCAGCCTGAAGATACTCTGAAATATGCTGCAGCCCAGGTTCACAAAACCACAGAAATTAATTAAATTAATCTTGTAAAATGTAACAAGGGTTTGAAAAATGTCCGACGCAAAACTTCGGCAAAAGAAATGAGAAAACTTTAACATCTTAGTGCAACAAGGAAAAATGATCATCTGATTATTGATATTGCTGCGGTTTTATAGCCTGGTGGAGCAGTGAGAGACGACTGGTCAATAAGTGATCCTGTTTACGTCTTTGCATGTTTATGGAGCCCTCAGGTGCCAGATTAAGAACAAACCCATGTGCAGATTAGAGCAGATTGTTATCCATTCTTACAGATTAGCAGGTAATTTTAACTCGAGGTCTAACCGATCCATAGGAGACAGGGTTACCAACTGAAGCTGAGGACTATGACTCCCTCTGACCCACCAATCACAGCAGGAGGAGAGTGTCACATGACCGCTCACAGGAAAAATAAATGTCATTTTTTTATTTCCGCTACACTCCAAATCACTTCTTTTTCCACATCTGAACTTTCTCTCTCCTCCTTCTCTTGTCAGTCCACAGGGAGCACATGTCCACACTTACTTATTTTGTCTTCATTGTCTATTCATGGTGGGGTTAGGCGATAAACCGAAAAATTTACCGACAACAATAACCAACGTCATTGTGTGTAGGTAGGCTATGGTCTCATGTCCCTTTAAGACACTGTCCTACATCAGAGACGTGACTCCACCCCATCCAGTCCGTAACAAAGAGGGAAAGACAGGTGAGGAGATGGAGGACGGAGAGAAAGTTGGAGCGGCTGAAGTAGACGAAGTTAATGTGGGAGGGGGTGAGCAGCTTGTGGAGTAGTTATCGTCCATTTATTGTTATCGAGGTGAACTGATCAATATATCGTGAGATCGATTTGAGTCTGTATCGCCCAGGCCTACTTCATGGACAGAGATTAATGCTGATTAGTGGCTGTGGGGACTGTGCAGTAGCGTTCATGTGTTACTCTACACGCAAACATACAAACGTTTAATGAGTGAGACCCAATGAAGTCAATAAAGTTTAGTTTTTAGAAAGCTGGCACACAGAGACAGATTCACACTTATTTTAACACTTTTTTTTTTTTTACCTTGATGTGCTGAAATACATCTCTCCGAAAATCTTAAAGTTTACTATGAGTGAACAAAAACATGCCACCTATTCTTACAGTAAATACATCGATGTTTGTGACCTGAAAACAACTGAAACAGAGAAATATTTACAAGGAAGTTAATTTTTTTTAAGAATTCAACCTTAATGGACATTTTACGCTTTAATTGTTGAACTAATGTGTTACGGTCATCTCCTCCTACTGATTAAAGGAACATTACGACATTTTTCACCAAACTTATCGCTCTGTGCCGCTGTAACTTTTCATGTAAATGGCCCCCTAGTTGAAATTGTGATTGAATTTGGAGCTGAATGATGATTGGATGTTCTCAACACTGACTGAGCAGTGACAGAGGAGATTAATCCCTCCGTCTGCTCTTTCATTAGTCTATAAGGCCATTTAACTCCAAACTCCCAGTGAACACGGAGGATTAACACGGGCCCGCCGCCTCCCCGTGATTGATGCTTCTGATTATGTTCATAAAAGACTTTGAGAGGAGGTCGCTCGTGTCGTGTATGAAGAGATGACTTACAGCTTCAGTTCCCTCAGACAGGAGATGAGACTGTGCGGCAAAGTCCACGTTATTAAAGAGACAAAAGCCAAGTGTAGCATTAAAGAAAGTTAATATGTAATTTGCTGCGGTTTGTTAGGTGACCACAACTCAAACAGGAAAGAAGTACAGTCAGTACAGTGTGTCCTCTAAACCTCAGAGAATATTTACACATTCATCACACCAGATTGATGAAACTCTGTCATGATAGAAAAGAACAACGTGGTGCTTTTACACAAAGAAGGTCTGATCCAGGACTTTATTTGAGCCTCTCCTGCTACTTTACACCAAAGCTTAAACAAAGGCGGATTAAACATCACAAAGCAGAATAAACTAAATGTACAAACATTGGATGAGAGGCCAGTGGCTCTTAGACTGATCCATCAGACACTGAAATTGAACAGAATCCTAGAAAGATGAGTCTAATTTTTAATTTTGATACCTGAATAACTAAAACGTAATTTGAAACCAGCAGCCTCACTTGATAAAAGTTGGATATTCTGTGGTTTTGACCTAGTATGGATGTTTTTGAAAATGCTTTTAGGTGGATGAAGAACTACGGATACTTTTTGATGTTTTTCACTTTTTGTGCAAAACTTTTTCCTATTGAAGTCACTTCTACTACTACTACTTCCACAACTTCTAATACTACTACAACTGTTACCACTTTCACTACTACTTCCACTAATTCTACTTCATCGACTACTTCCACCACTTCTTCTTCTACCACTACCACTTATATCACGTAAACTTGTACTTTTAATTCAAACACAACTACTATTACTACTACTACCTCCACTAGTACTACTTCCACTTCTAGCTCTACTTCTGTAACTTCTACTTCTTCTATTCTAAAACTACTAGATAGATAGATAGACACACAGACAGACAGCTAGATACTTTATTAATCCCAGAGGGAAATACGAATATCACTTCTACTACTACTCATAATTATAACTACTTCTTGTACTACTACTTAAATAAATGCCACTTCTTACTTTCCTGTGTTTAAGGTTTATTTTCTTCTTCATACAGATTTTTGTGCAATTTCAATGTATGTAGCACATTCATACTACTTTAACTTCAACAATATTTACATTTATTTCACTTCTACTTCTTCAGTTAAACAGTTTTCACAATTATACTTTTCTCCATTTTTTTTAACAGTTTTGCATTGCTTTTTCAGCTTTTAACACTCAGCATTTGCAAGAAAAAAGATGAGCTTCTTCTTTGGCCAGAGAAAAATGAATTGAAATCCCAGAGCTAGGACTTTTTTCTCTGTGAGAGGCTGGACACCTGTGCAGCCAGTGCCCCACCTCTCATCCTAAGACATCTAGGAGGCTCAAACCTCAGCTCCATCCCCAAACAGGATTATTGATATAGCTAAAAGGGTGAGTAGAAAATGGGTAAATACCTGTCTCCAAAGACACAAACCTTTAATGACAAAATCAGGAGATGTATCAATGACTGAATGTTTCTGTTCTTACACTGACCCTCTGTTTTTGTTTGTGTTACCCTGAGACAATCCTGTTTTATTCTCATTGTTTATAACCGTCAATGTTCAAAGAAAGAAAAACTATCACTGAACTTTTTATATTCATGATGTCGATTTAAACATTTATTTCCTAAATCCATGTTGGCTGGAGACACAAATGTATGAATGATGCTTCAAACTTCACATTAGTTTTACTGTCACTGACCATGACCGTGTGTGTGTGTGTGTGTGTGTGTGTGTGTGTGTGTGTGTGTGTGTGCCTTTCATCTATCATGTCTTCATGTTTGAACTTCTCCAAGGTCGCTCAGCTGCAAATTCAATTATGTCTCTGCTCTTATTAACCGCCACATTTTAAAAGCTGGAACAAAGTTATTAATTTTTTTGGACAGTTATCCCGTGGGATTTAGGCGAACACACACACACACACACACACACACACACACACACACACACACACACACACACACACACACACACACACACACACACACACACACACACACACACACACACACAGTTTTGGATGTTTCTGTCCCTGAAACTGGGCCGCAGACTTTACGACTCACCTTATTCTGCTCGTTTTTACGCCACAACAGCGTGACACAGCTCTTCATGAATGCCTTATGGTTGAAATTCATGTTTTACATTGTGTTTAAAATACATTTACAGCCCAGACTGCTCTCTACAGCTTCAAACAGAGAATTGGAAACTCCCCAGACAGAGTAAAGTGTGTTTGACTTCAGATTACTGTCAGCTAATTAACACTGATGCTGCTAATTAGAGCCGCGGTGTTTGTTCAGTGAGATCAGAGAGCTGCGGGATTAAAGCTGTAATCCACTCAAATGACTCAGACTACACCCTGTTTGTCTTCTTCCGAGGAAATATTGGAGGTTTCCGTCAGTAAACACACTCACAGACTCGGCACACATTTTCAAATCATCAGCAGTAAATCAGTTTTTCTCACTTCGGAGACAATCGGCTTCATAATGAAGACAAAGGAGAGGAGTGTGCTTTACATTTAGAGACTCTGCGTGGTCACATAAACACACACAAACACAAACACATCTTCTCAGTGCTGTATGGTAACTATATATTTACAGCAGTACTTTCACTCTTAAAATCTCTCAAAGAGCTTTGAGGTTGACGTGTAACTATATTCTTAAATACAAATACAGTTCAAGCTGCCGATTTCTACGAAATTATATCTTTAATATTCTCAACACACAACAGACTTTTCAATATGACAAAAACAAGCTAAACAATTATTCTGCAGCTGCATTTTACACCGAGCTAAAACAGTCCTCGAATCAGACGGCTGACTGTAACTTGAAACTAGTTCCAAATTTCCGATATTTATGGATTTGATACGGTTTGAGAAATCTGAATACAGAATTAAGTTTTTCTCATTTCTCATTTGTGTTTTCTGCAGGATCAGGGGAACACTGGGGAATTACTGCAAGTGATCGAACCTCGACACAACAAGAGAGGGAGTATAAGGGCTGTAAAACAA